TCTTGTGTTTGCTTGCGGTTTATGTGGCCAATGCTCAAGGCACTCGGTTCGCATCGATAACTGCGCCATTTGCATCAAAATCATGCGCACAGTTCAACAAGCAGCGCCAATTTGTGTCACGCTGCTCCTCCCTCCTTCTCCACACATAATCCTCCACCACCACATTCACAACTGTACGCCTCTTCTGACCAGCTAGTAATTGAATTTCAGTTTTGTGTGTTGTTGGTTCTGGCCCACTTATATTGGCTTTCATGGCGTTCATGGCTCTTGCTGCTCTGCTCGTCCTCGACTGCAGTCGATTGGTTTGATTGTGCGCATTTTCGGTTTCTCCGAATGTTTCTAATTGGCAACACGAGCCGCCACCACCTCCCCAATCGTCCGCTGCCAAACAGCCTTTGGTTTTATGCGAACAGTAGCTTGGTCATTCAATGCTAAAATAATTAATTAGTTGCATTAAAATAAGCACACAGCTCAGTTTTGTAGTCCTTGTCCATGAACCGTAGTGGCTCAAAGCCAATGCGAGTGATTGTAATGTATTTTATGCTCATTATATTCCATCAGCACTGGTACAGTCATCATCGTGTCTAAGCCGATTGGAGGCCTAGGCGTCGCCTCGATTGCTTGCAGTTTGGGTTACTCAATTAAATTTATCAAAGTGCTGATAAACAAAGGGTGAAGAAGTGATGTTAATGAGTTTCTCGATGTATTTGCGAGTATTTGCGGCTCAGTATCTTAACAAAGCATGCGCAGGCCGGAATCATGGATGTGTGTGTGTGTGTGTGATTCAACCAAATATAATTAAAGCGGGCTTATAAAAGGTTCATTGGTTCAGGATCATAATAGTGCAATTATGTGAAATTATGAATTATGTTTTAGTTACTTTAAGGTTAGAATGTTTAATATGTAATAAGTGAATTGTTTGAATGCTCAAACCTTATATTCACAGCCATCCCCGCATTAACATTTGTCTTATACTGCTCTATAATTGTACTTAATAATTTCAATCTTAATTCAAAGTTTTTATGTATAATCGTAATATATAAACATTTTTTCATATTTTCAATTTAATTTGTTTATATACTCATTACATGGTATTTCTTCACAATATTACAGTCTTCTTTCTTAGTGGGTTATAGTTGCTAAATAAATAAAGTAAAGTCTAAAAGGCCTAAAAATTGGATATTTTCGGGATCTGTTTATTTGCTAAATATATTTTTTGTATACTAATTTGGACTACCAGGACTTTAAATACCTCGCGAATTTATGGAAAATTTACTTTTTATTTTAATCTAAAGTGTAGGGTTTGGAAGACATAAAAACTAATCTTTCACATAATTTGTATAGTCATTTCTATAATTCCGAAACTAGTAAAATGTCTTTAAATACCCTAGCCCTGTCATCTTTGATGTTTTAAAGTAATTGTGTCTCTGATTTAGTTGTAAGGTTGGTTGGTTATGAATGATGACAGCTGATTTAAGCTGAAACAGATATAAATTCCATAAAAAAGGGGGAACACTACACACCCATGCACTATCTTAAACATACACTGGACGGCGACATGCATGTATTATTTAATAGCTTTACTTATATTAGTAGGGTACATATGTATCAAGCACATTAAAGAAAGCTATTTAGTTTTTATAAATGTTGTACAACTCTATATTTTTCGTGCTCATTTGATTGCCCGCACAGCTCACTGAAAAGTGTAAGGTATTGTACGCATATTACAATAAATTGCCAACTACTGTCGTTGCTTTGGGTAACAAACCAACACACGCAAACAAACTCACATACACACACGTATACAGGCACAGCCTTGATTCATGCATATTCATAAAGTTTGCATTATTGTTGTTGAGTGTTGGCACAATGTATGCATAGAAGAAACTTTCAGTTAATTAAAAAAAATAAAACCCATAGCAGAATTGTTATATAAATTTTGCTTTTTATGCGCGACTAAATGAAAAATCTACCCATGAGTGTTGTTAACCTGATGAAAAGTAGGTAAAATGGCTACGGCAGGAGCAGCAAAGGCATCCGAAAGCAGTGGGGCGGCTGAGCGCCAGCAGCACATTTGCGATTATTTCCCACGCGGGCACTCAGAACATAAAGAGCAATAAATTAAAAGCAAAGTCAGGCAACAGCGACGACAACATCGACAAAGTCGTCCTGACTCTTCTTACGATGACGACGACGACGACGACGGCGATGATGATGAAGATGACGATGTTGCTGATGAAGGAGCTGCTAGCTTCTAGCGGCTACCCAAGATGCTAGAAAGCAAATAAGGGCAGGTGCTTGAGCGTTCAGCCTTCAGGCAGGCAGGCAGGCGGCACCAACCACTTCAGGTGCAAATGAAAAATGTAATTATTTCGTAGATTTGCGTTCAAAAAATAAACATGCGGAAAATTTTACTATTTCCTGCCAGAGCACCGCAGGCTTATGTAAAGCATTCGAAAGCAGCAGTCCCTGGCTAATGAGCTGGGCGCTCCAAATAGCAGCAGCCCAAAAAAAAGAGAGCAGAAGTCAGCTGAAACTTAAAAGGCAAATTCATAAAATGTTAAATAAATAATAGTAGACAGCGATGGCGTTCCAAAATGTTGAAATACGAGCAAAACTTTTGCCTTTACAAAATCTCAAAGAAATTAGCGCAAATAACATGAAGCAACGGCTGCTGTGTACTGTGGACTATCAACTGAGGCTGCTGGCAGTTGCAGGTGAAAGGCGCTCGGGTCCTTGCTCATTAATTAAGAAAGTGGCAAATGAAAAGCCTGAAAACACGTACCGAATTGAGGGGCTTCAATTTTGTCGACGATGACGACGATGCCAATGCTATATTTACAGTGGGTTTATTTGAATGTTTTGGAACAAACAAATTAAAACCGATAAGTTAACATATATAATTTTCTTCATATGTATAGTATATATTCTATTTTTAATTTACATATGATATATATCAAAAACACGACACTTTGCAGTTGATTTAGGCAACACCATCACCTCGTTGGTAAATTTTCACTATTTAAAGCAATGGAAAGGTATTTAAAAGCGAATACAACATAATAAAATGCGATTTTTTTTTACTGCAAAAACGTTTCAGTGATGAATAATATTATTAAAATATAAATATATAAATATAAACTATGTTTACTTAAAAACTAAACCAAAACTCGAATAGTAGATTGAATATTTGAGTCTTCTGAGCCACATGCTACCAAATGCTGAATCAAATATGTCTGCCGTAAAAATACAGTTCAAATGTGTTCGAAATCTGTAGCTTTATAGCATAGCAAGGAAAATATTTATTAAATATAAATATAAAAAGTTGGGAACTTAAAATTATGAAGGAGGGCTACTGAAATGAAAGTTATTTTTAATAAATTTGAAAAGTTTTATTAAAATATACATTTATAAAAATGTTAATTCTAAAATAGAATTTGAACTAATGTGTGTTAGGAAATAGTATATGATAAGGATATTTCCATTCAACCTAGTTTCAGGCATTTTTTTCAATGAAAATTTGTATTTTATTTTGAATCGTAGTACATCTAATGTATCTTCAATTAGAGATAGTGATAGCGGTTTCAAAAATTTGAGCGCCTAACGCCTTTCCGTCCCAATTAAGATTACGATTTTGTTCACTTATTTGTAGCCTGTTTTCCATTTTGAACCACTTGGAGATGCTTGATAACTGACCTGCGAGCAAGTGGAAATATGAGCAACGAGCCAAGCTTCCTGACTCCCCGGTGTGTGTGTGTGTGTGTGGGTGTGTGTGTAAATCAGTTTTATTTGCTTTCACTTGTTCTGCTCTAATATTTTTTCGGAGCATTTGCAACGTTTTTGTTTGCTTCCACGCGAGCGTTGGCGTTGGCGGTGACTGCGGCGGTGACTGCGGCGGTGGTTGCGGCGGCTGCTTGTGGTTCGCCTGCAACCCATGCGGGTATTACATCTGGTTGTTGTTGTTGTTGTTGCTGTTGTTGGTGTGACTCGAACAAAAAGTCGAAAATTAAATTATTAATTTATTGCCACTGCTCCAGTTGCTCGCCAGACTGCCTGCCCGCCATCCAGCCTGTTTGTTGGCCACTCCCGCAGTCTTGCTTTGGTTTTTGAACATTTTTTGTTGCCATTTTCTGTGTTGTGGGACGCAACATTTTGCGGCTTTCTTCGAAACGACCGTGCGCACTAATTATTCATAAATTAAGCTTGTATTGGTCTGCCCGGCTTTTGATGTGGTAGAAGGGAGAGTTTGAGTTTTTTATTTATTTTATTTTTGGTGTACTTCATTCGCCGCTTGTTTGTTTATTTAACAATTTGCACAAGTGCTGCAAAATGTTCTTTGATTGAAGTTAATAATCTGACCAAAGTAGAACAGCGACTGCCAGAGAGAATGCCTATACATATAACATAATTCATGGTGCTACGGCCAAAGCAGTTTTCTGAGCCGTAATTAGCATGGAATTTTGTCAAGAAGCTTTTATAGAGTCCTCAGCTATATAATATAAAACTATAGAGTGACTTTAGAGATCAGAAGTTTCTGATTTATGAAATACACGATATTTACAATTTTAATTACTCTGTTTTAATACCTTTAAATGATATTTTTACAAATAAGACTTTTATGTGATATATAGAGTCTTTTGTTAATACAATTTATTGAAATGCAATTGTAAATTTGCACCTATTTCGCTCTTAAAGATTTAAATAATATAAGGCGGGCAAACTTTTAGAATATTTTAATAAGCAAATACTTGTAAAAGACAACATTGAAACATACACCTTTCTCTAAGAAGCCGAAATATAATTTTTAAAACACCTATGTTGAGCCTGTAGACGGACCTTGCATGAAGACTAGGATTAATTATTAAAAATTTTAAATAAATGTGGAATGCTTTCACATGTTTGTAATTTTTATTTAAAAAATTTTAATTAATTTACTAAACTCCTTATTGTTATATTTTATTTATATATTGTTAGTTTGTATAAGAGTGTGTTTCACTTACGATATTTCTCCAAATGGCGTGAATGCATCTTTCAGCTGTTGCGTTTCAATTTCGGCACTCAAATCGCCAACAAAAATGTGGAACTGTTCTGTAAAGAGAGAAGATCGAAAGGCACAAAATTAAAAAGTGCTCGTAGTTTAAAGTACAATTAAATTCCCTGAGCTACGCATGCCAGCAGGCAAGCAAGCAATTGACAAAACACTTCAGTCTGCGTCCACTCGAGCAAAAGGACAACAGTTGCCAATGAAATCGCAACTTGCAATTTCGGCTGTCTAGGCAGACCTAGCACTTGCGAATTTCGGGACACTACTGACACTATCAAGTGGCAGCCAGTTGCCAGTTGCCAGGCTGCCTGCAGTCGCATCGTGTCAGTCTTTGAGTTGGCACTTGTGTGAAGTTGGCCACACGCCGCTGCTGTTGCCACTTGCTTAGGCTTTGGGCCAGGTCTCATGCTCGGGCTAGGACTCGGGCGACATTGGATGATGCACAGAGAGACATAGAGACGCCGTATCGTTTTGGCCAGCGAGCGGGAGTTTCTACGTGCCTGTCCGGTCCCGATGCGGGACAGGAGCGGGGGTGGGGGCGGGGGCGTTCAGGTGCAGCCCAAGTGTGGCAACGTGTCATGTTTGTATGCATACCGAACCAGGCGAAACATTTCCCTGCAACTAACTGCTACTATCTGCGTTCCATCAGCCTGTTTGTTGGTGTTCTTGTTGTTGTCGCTGCTGTTTTTGGTCCCGCGTCGTGCCAAAATGACATAGTTTCGGATTACAAGGAAATTGCACTTGAATGTGTCAGTCAGAGAGTCAGGCAGTGAGGCAGTAGGGGTGTGGGAACTTGTGGTGGTAAGTAGATGAGTGGTAGGCGTGGCTATGTGTCACATGTGTATGTGTGCGCACCGAGACGACAGCGTTGACAAATATGCCAAAAACCCAAGCACCATGAATTGCAATAAGCGTTCACAGTTCGCACTGCATGAGGCGGGAAAGAGTTTGGAACTGTGGAGCTCTGCAGGCTGCATGGTGCCGAGTGGCAAGTAGGTGACCCCGCTCTCGTACTGTGCGGCTCCTGCATCCCGTCGAGGCTCATGGCTAACTGTCCGGCTCGTTGAGCGACAGGAAGTTCTGCTAAGCGTCATTTCCGTTGTTTTGAGTGATTGCAATTGAGATACGGTTTTTGTGGTTTCTTTTTGGCTGGCTGTTGTCTGGCCGAGCCATTGAGCACGTGTTCTGACTATTTGCTCCTTTTCACACTGATGCCTTTTAAAGTTATGGCTGGGCATTGTCCAAAAAATGTACAAGTATTTGTCATTTAATGTGCCGGAAATTCCTACATTCTACTGTCCTGAACACATCTCTACATTACAAACGATGCGCTTAAAGCTTTTAAGGTACTTAACTGTTGATTATTTGTAATCTTCACTAAAATAAATTGTTTATAATGCATTAATACATGAACCGCCCACTAGAAAAGGTAAAGCCTAACCATTTTTTTTGTGGACTAAAACGAAAAAAGGGTTTTTTTTTGTAAAAGAATATTATTTTGTTTAATTTCTCAGAATCAAATCACAAGCCAAATTGTTTTTATAATAATTAGATAATATAAATTTTTAGTTGTTAGGCATACTATATATATAGATTTTTCTTACTGCTGTAAAGATTTCTCGTAATTGCAATTGGAATTTATTATTAGATTGTTGACTTGCTAGGCCGCTAAAGTCAAACAAAACTAATACAACGTATTAATAAACTAATAAACTCGATGTGAATAATAAGCTTGAAAATTGTTTAGGAAATTGATTAAATTCTTTAATGGCTACCTTATCAGTATCAACAATATGCCTAGTTTTTGACTCGCTTCAAATGTGCAGTTTAATCGACAGATAAAAGAACTCATGTTTTATTTGATTTACTCAAGTGGTCACTTCAAAACCATTTAAGCGAAACAATTTATTTTCTGCAACAATTCCATTTTGGCTCCACTTGGCTATTAGGTTACAGTCCATAAAATTTGCATGAAAAAACATTTCAAATGTTCCATTGAACTTGGCCAGTGGCCTGGAAGGCCACTTCTTCTGCTGTGCGCTGCTGCTCATAATTAGGCAACAATTTGGGCAAAAGGCAAAAATTAATAGCTGCAATCTCGCAGACGCATTGCCACAATTAAAGGCCATAAAAAAGTCCTGGCAACTTGAAAATGCGCATAAAGCAGCCGAGAAAGATTCGCAGCCAAACACCAAACATGAAAATGAGCGAACATCAACAATAACAACAACAGCGAGAAGAACGGGAACAGCAGTAGCAGCAACAACAACAACATCAACAAAAATGTAATTCAACATAAAAATATCGTAAATCTTAAATTAGAAATTTCGCACATTAAAAACTTGGAAATTGCATTTGATGTTTTTTTTTTTCGGTGGATGTTTTTTGCTTCCAACTTATTTCGTGACCCCGCGCTGACCTCTCCCCCATTCCCTAGTTTCTCACTCTATTCCACTCTGATGCTCTTTCATGAATTTCTCGCCGGAAACAGCGAAGAATCCAATAGAAATCCCCAAAAGTAAAGCGCGTGTTTATGTCTCTTCGTGTTTTCCTACATGTGTGTGCGTGTGTGTGTCCTTCTGTGTGTTCGGGTATTTTTGTATGCTGCATGGCATGCGGATGCTTTGGGGCGTGGCTGCCTCTGCTACTGCCGCATAAAGTCCATTGCCGTACATTTTTAATGAGTTGGACATAAAAAAGTTTTAGCTTTTCAAAAGCTGGCACTGAAATGAAGCCAATGAAACACACAAACACACATCCATACATATATAGTACAAGTATATATATATAAGCGGACTATTGGCCATTGTCTTTAATGTCGTTGCCGTTGCTGCCGCTATTGTTGTAGTCTGCTGCCTCGCTTGTTTTATTGCATAATCGTGAGTCAATCAGCGACCTGGGAGCGCGACCTTCATCAATGCGCGTCAGCTAATAAATACGTGCTGCAGTCTTGCAAGGTAATCGGGATAGGGGTTGGAGGATGGCCGATGGGGGATGGGGGAGAAATTGGCGCCTCTCTTAACTACCTTGCGCTGGCAATTAAATTTCATTTCCAGCTACATTTAAACAGTTTGCTTTAATTTTCTAATAGCCATTTGCATACTTAATTGAATTTGTGCTTGGCCCGTATAAGTATGCTACAATTTTAGATTCGCTTAAAAGCCATCGAATTGTCATAATAATTTGCTCTAATTTGGCTGACATTATCGGTTTTAGATGCGTGTTTGTGCGCAGCATCGCATCAAATTGGTTGTTGTCGTTCCACTTTTGTTGTTGCCCGTGTTGCGGTTGTTAAAATGTTTTTGCTGTTATTAAAACCTAAATGCATTTTCTATAGCTCTATAAAATGCGTGCTCACACATATGGATATGCATAATGTTGAATTTGTTGTTTGCCGCTATCGCTCTCATTGTTGTTGTTGTGTTTATTGCCGGGCACTTTGTGTGGGTTGTTAAATTTATATTATAAGTGTGTATATACTTTACATATGTATGTACATACATACGTGTGCGGTCGTAATGCACACAGACACATAAAAATTGTCTGGCGGACATTAAATGTGATAAAAGCAATGAGAAAAGTTGTCATTATGCTGCAGGAGAATTATGGCTAAATTAATCGAAAAGATGTGCAGCGAGCGATAAAACTGTGTGGTTTCTTGTGGCTATGGAAAATGTGAGCAAATAAAGATAGTAAAAAAATTGTGTATATAATTGGCCGATATATCAATGCATTTTGAATCTGGAAGATATATCTGTGCATACGAAATTAAGTCGACTAACTCTTTCTTATTAAACTATTAAAAACTGTGAAATGATATGCAGAAGCAAAAGTAAGAAAACTTTATATCACATACATAGGTCTTTAAGAAAATTATAATTTAGAAAAATTTTTGGTTTTTGCATAGAAGGTTCTGGGTGCTCCTTTTGATTTCATACATAATCTTACGATTATATATGTGTAAAATGGGGTTGCTTAAGATATTTTAGTCCAAAATCACAATTCACAATTAGTGAAACACAATTCATTGCTTTTTAAATATTAAAAGGTTTCTTTGTCCGCTCTTATTTATACAAATGAACATTAACAAATTTTAGTAGCATTCGTCACTTTTCCATTCCACAAAAATTTCATTCAAAATTCCAATGACATTCAATGTTTTTACACTCTGATTTTCTATGTATTACAGAAGGCTTTATTTTGCTTCTCTATAATATTATATTGGTTTTACTTGTCGCCTGACAAATATTTTATATATTATAAAAATAATGTATTCTTTTCTTAAGGAAAATAAGTAAGCACTGTTTTAGTAAAATATTTTCAGCTTCTTCTTAGAATTATTATGTAGTGCCAGTGGACAAGGAGTTAAAACTAAAATTGTGTTTTCTAAACGATGGTTATTTTGAGTGCTCAATAATATATAGATATGTACACGCATAACAACAGACGCGTATCTTATCTATTTGTGTGTGTACTAAACAAAGCATAATCGGGCTGTCCAATGTATGTGTAATTTCAAATTTATTGCTAATATTCATATTACTTTACAATGCTAATTATTTTAAAACTTCGAATGAGGCTTAAAGTTTCATAAAATAATGAATATGAAAATGAATACAGCTTACATTTGATTTATATATTTATTAAATACAATTGTAAGTACTTTTCATCAACGTGCAATCATAATACGATTAAAAATCGTATAGCTTGTAATTCTTAGAAATGAGTCGTCTTAATAGTTGCACAAAATTTTTTTGTTCTTGATTTTAATAAAACAGCAGTAGCATGATTTTAGTCAGAACTCTAAGCCAGTGAGTATTGCGGCTATATTTTAATAAGATGTCGTTTCACACATTTGCATTTGACGTTGTTGCTGGAGCTGGAGTTGGCCCACCAGAAATGCGAAATGCCTCAAAACTGGCATTTACACGTAAAGTGTGCATAAATTTAGCTGCAAGTGTTTACCTTCATTTAGGCGCAGTCAGTGTGAAGTGGACTCAAGTGAAGCGTGTGGTAATACATATAGCTCTAGGTTCTGCACGAA